TTCATCTCCACTTCTACTAACATCACCATCTTTCCATATTTATTATGGTTTGACATGATATTATCATTGTAGACACCAGTTTTTTATCTGGCTCAAAAAATGTTAAATAAATTATTATTATTAATTATTTTATTTTATATTTACAGGCCAAAGCCCAATATAGTATCACCCAAATTATAACAAGCTCAAGACCCGGATTAGACCCAACAACTTGACCCGGTGCAAGTCATCACCAAGCCAATGCCTCCCACGTGCTGCTGTGCCACCAATCGTGCCGCCATAGAAGTATACTGCACCAAAAAAAATCAAACCACAAGTCAAGAAAGCAACTAACCCGAAAATCATGGGATGATTTCACCTAAACCTGTTATTATCTCACCAAGAAAAGGAAGAGGCAAGGACAAAGGATTCGGTGGAGACTGAAAGCTAAAAAGGAGGAACAGAAGGGGGGGCAAAAGATAGGAAAAGCTCTCGGCAATTCAAAGAAAAAAAAAGAGCTAGGAAAGAAACACGGAAACAAACAGGGGGCTCTGGACCAGAGATCAACATCGAGCAAAAATCAGAAAGAAAAAATGTAAACATGGGAATGTAACGGGGTCTTCTTTTACTGAATTCGAAACAGAAAAACGAATAAGAGATTTCTTTCTCCCAGTATTCAGGCATCAAGCAATGTAATAACAGGATTTTTCTCTCATTTGAAAGCAGTAGTAGTAAACAAGGTCTCGTCATTTCTTATATTCGATTTTCCCATTTCTTTTACAAGCAACATAGCATATTTATTTCTTTTGATTTAAAAAAAAGTTTTGATTCATTACCTGAGAGTCATAGGAGTTTTCCGGAGTCACAAGGGTCTCGTGATTCACGTCATGGAACAATAACAATCGACATGAAAAAAAGAACCCAAAATAAAAAATCCATCAAAACCCATGAGAAAATATTAAAAAGGAAAAAGGGTTCGATCGAGTTTACCTTTGGTTGTTAGTTTGTAGCCGGAGTAGGAGCCTTTCCAATTTTCGTCTGTGTCGTGGGAGGTATCTTCGTCAGCTTAGGTAGCTTCGGGGGGGGGGGGGCTGTTTTTACTGGATGTTAAGAAGAAAAGAGATGTTTTTTGTTCCGATCTGGTTCGGTTTTGGGTGTTTCCGGTGTCGATTTGGGAACCGGTTGTGTGAGCTTTGGATGGATGAGAGGGTTGAGAGGGAAGCCAAGGCGTTGTTGGGCTAGTCTAGGACCTTCTCCGGTCAAGGTTTGGAGTCTCGGTCGAGGAAGAGCGTAGAGGAAAGGAGAGCTGCGATCCAGAGAGAATGGAGAAGGAGATAACGGCACAGGGGATTTGTTTTAAAGGAAAGTAAATAATATGCTAAATGAAATTAGGGTTTAGTTTTTACTTTATATATTATATATATTTGAAGAGTAAAATGATAGTGTTTTAGGGTCTAGGGCGTGATTTTCCGGTGCATGAGTTATCTATTTATTGAGCCATTTTAGTTTTCATTTTAATTCATCTTAGTCCTTAATCGTAAGTTTATATGTTTATAATTTTATCTCTGTATTTTTGTGATAATTCGATTTTAGTCCTGAATTCTAATATTTCCTTTCATTTATACATTAGAGCTCTAAGTTTTTGTATATTATATTTTGGTCCTGAATCCGTATGGGTTTATTTCGATTTTAGTACATGAAATGTGATTATTTGTGTTTTGTGACTTGATCTTTGTCTAATATGTGATTTTAGCCTTAGAGTTATGTGTTTATTCATTTAAGTCATTATGTTGTTTTTTTATATTTTCATGATAATATGTAAATAATAATATTAATGTACAAAGTTTGGTGTTTCGATTAAATAGGTTTCACATAAGTATTATTAAATTATATTTACTAAGTATATTTTTCATAATTAGTATTAAGAAATTTGTTACGAATATATAGTTATAAGTTTCACTTTCACTTAATTTTTTAAGTAAATTAGCATCGTAACATTAGTATTTTTCTTAAAGTTAGTTATAATATATGTTTTTTATAGAACCCTAAACTTCATTGGTTTTAACCTTTTAATGTCATTTTCTTTATTTACAGTTTGATTTGACATGTTTATATCATTTTATTAATTAGTAGCGTTGAATTTGTATGATAGCCTCACTTATATAACTCGACTTATCATTACATAATTGGATTAAGGGTAATACCTTTTTAATTTAAAATGGTTTTAAGTGGGTTGTCTTAACTGATTAGAGATCCGCTTTTGACGATTTTAAATTAAAAGTATATCCTATTAGTGATACCTAGAAATTGACTCATCACTTTAAAATTTGGTAATGGAAGAAAAAGAAATGTTCGGCTATTTAAATTTATCGAGAAAATGTTGTTATAACTATTTAAGATCTAGTCTCGATATTTTTAAATAATCGAATATTTTTTATCTTTCTAAAGGCTGGATAATTTTAACTTAATCAATCCGGGTGTTTTTGAATATGGTGAAATTCGTATGTTGTTATTTTGATGGGGATCATAAATTAAATTAAATTTGAATTTGAAAATCTAATTGCAAAGACATCAATTAATCGACTAGGTACCGAATTATTTAAAACTAATTTTCTGGTAACGCATACCTCAATTTATTGTTTTAATTCAAATTAATTTTTATTTAAAATGACAACGTTTTTGGTGCTCAATCACACCTAATCAAAGATTGGAGGTGACTTTTCGAACCTGTGTTTTTATCGTGAATAAATTCCCAAATTTTCGAAACGAGAGGTTTTCTAAAATCACATTACTTTTTAATTAAAAATCAATCATAAAAAAGATAATTAAAAATTGATGTGATTTTCAAAATCTCGCACAATAACTTTTAACAAAAAGACCGTTTCTACAATCATCACCGGAAGTGACCAGACAGAAGTAGATAATGTTGTGAAGCAGATTAATTCTGAATTTTGTCTTAAAGATCTAGGGCAACTTGAATTTTTGTTGGGTTTGGAGATTCAACAAATTCCTCATGGGCTTTCCCTAAGTCAGAAAAAAGTATGTGGTTGACCTGTTGATTAAAGCATATATGCTTAACTGTAGCCCGTCCCCAACACCAATGGTGGTTTCTTCTAAACTTAAGTCTGTTGAAGGTGTTGCTTTTGTTATGTTCATCTGTATAGAACCATCGTGGGAGGTCTACAATAAATTTGCCTTACTCGGCCTGAAATAGTTTATGCAGTTAAAAAAGTTAGTCAATATATGAATAGTCTATGTGAGGTTCATTGGCAAGCAGTTAGACGGATACGCTGTTATCTCTCTGGAACTCTTAGTCATGGACTGTTTTATGTTGCTTCTGGCTCTTTCTCCCTTGTTTGTTATGCAGATGCAGATAGGGCTGTTTCTGTTTAGGATCGTCGCTTCACAACAGGTTATTGTATTTACCTGGGTGGAAACCTTGTAACTTGGAGTTCCAAGAAATAGTCAGTGGTGTCTAGATCCACCTCCGAAGCTGAAAATAATGGCTTAGCTAATTCTGTTTCAGAATTGATTTGGGTTGAGCAGCTCCTAATGGAAATTGATGTAATTGTGCAAGGGAAGCCTGTTGTATGGTGTGATAACACCTCAATTTTACTTACCATGCACGAATCAAACATGTTGAAACTGATATGCATTTTGTTCTAGAAAGAGTATTGGCTGGTAAACTAGTTGTTAATTTCTTACCTTCTGCAGAACAAGTTGCAGATATTCTTACAATGCCTGTACCTCATGCAACATTTGCTCTTATGCGTGATAGACTTGGAGTTATGCCCATCAGCAGGTGTCTTAAAGAGAAGAAGGAAAAATAACCAGGAAATATTATAGTATAATAACTAAGCTGTAGCTGGGCTAGGTTGTTAAAACTGTTTTTGAGTTTGTTAGTCTGTTAATCCATATTGTTAGGCTCATTCAGACTATAAATATGTAAGGTCTGGGCCTTTATCCTTTAAGCTAATATTGAGAATAATATTGTTTCACATTCAAGTCAAAATTATACTTTACTTTTAGTCAAAGTCCCTATCTGCTCTTAGTGTTCCCTTTCAGGGTTATCATTATCTCTATTCTGCAATTATATTGAAGAACGTTCATACTTGAGTTGTTGTTTCTGTTGAATACCTTCAAATTTAATTTGCAACTAATCTCAGAATTAAACCTTGAAACTTCGTTTCTCCCTTATCAACTCAAATCACTAAGAATTCTCCAAGAACCTAATGCCCTAAATGCCTCTGATTTCTTGGATAATGAAATTATTCATGTCATAACTGAAAACACGTGTAACTCTGATGCAAAAGATTCTGATTATATATGTCTGATTACATAGTGCCTTCGAAAAATATCTGAATACTATATGATCATGATAAATCACATTTTGAATAACTGATGATTTCGTCAGCTATTGAACCCTTTCGATAGTGATTCTAGTTTACGGTATTCTATTGGTATATTGAAGATCCGTGTTTCCCTTCCCGATAAGATTATCATGTACCTCCGAATAATATCTAGAACATCTAGTGTGTTCCCTGGCCACACAGATGTTTTATCTTATTTCTGTTATGATCTCTGGTATGACTGAAGATCCTGGCAAGTTCAGTCGCTGCTGATAATTCGTCAATTATATGTAGGAAAGACAACGACACCCTATCATGCCCAAAATTAAAACTTTAAGGGCCAAAAAAGAGAGTTTAAAATTTTCAACGTGTTACGTGCTTCAAATTGCACATGCATACTGAAAGAAAAGGGTTATTTTAAATCCAGCAGCATTTCCGCAGAATCAATCTTAGTATCTCTACTGGGTTAGGCAAATGCATATATATGTATAGAGAATTCATCGGAATCTTCATCGTTAAAACGCCAAGCAATTGTCGCTCCTCTTCCATCAACAATGTCAAGCAAATGCTTAATTATTACTATGTTGTTGCAAAATTGCTCAATTACGAAGCAAAGGATATATACCTATACAAAGCGTGTCTACAATGTCACTAAAAGTTATGATCAACGATTTAATTATAGTAATTAAAACAGTTAAAAGTCGACTCTCCAAACACAGTTCCTTCAAACCCCATGGAGTCCATGTCTTTTCACAAGTTTTCTGGGAATTATTTGGTGTTGAGGCCAACCGAAGTGAGCGTTTTCGATCTGTTTCGCATCCTGTGGAGCCATGACCTTGAAGAGAAAGCCATAGTTCAGTGCCCACCGGAGAGATTACAGGAAAATATCCGTCGAAAATGGCTTATTTTCATGTCTCTATCGTCCCAAAAGCTCCTTCTCCTTGCTGCAGAGCCAATGAGATGGATTGGAGAAAAGCTGGAAATGTGGGTGAACTTGGTCTCGCTGAACCGCAATGTTTTCGTGCTTTTTCTCAATCTTTTGCGAGGTTAGATATTTAGAGCACTTTGACAGATGAATTGTTGTGGATTAATAGAATTAGAGAATGTGGATTGATGAGTATTAGGGTTTTGCAGGTAAGGTGAAAATGCCGGATCGAAGATCGGAAGTTTTCATGTCGTTCATCGGAGGTCTAGATACGCGAGTTGAATTAGATAAAGATATAAAACCTGGGGATTGTAGATACTTTGGAGCAATGGCGGCTAAATTATCTTACGAGAACGAAGCATTTGTTCGAAGAATAATTAGAGATTATTGGAAGGTAAATTCTTAATATTTTCTTAACATCATTCCTTTTCGTTTTATAATTCATGTTCAGAATGATAATTTATTTTAAATAAAAAAATTCGTTATCAATTGGTGCAGATGGACTTAATCGGGTACTACAACTTCTGGAATGGTAAGAAAAAGAAATCAAATATTTATGTATTATCCATAGTCTTCAAACTGAGAAGCACTGTTCCTTTGAATGAAGATTATCAAAAGAAAAACAACACACAAGCATTTATGGTTTACGATAAAACAACAGACATGATAATCGTAGCATTCAGAGGAACCGAACCCTTTAACGCCGATGATTGGAGTACTGATTTAGACGTCTCCTGGTTCGAACTCGACGAGATGGGCAAAATCCACGGTGGATTCGTGAAAGCACTAGGGTTAGTTATGGAAAAAGGTTGGCCACCGTACGTCGACAACGACAACCGCCACGGCCACCTGCTCGCTTACTACACTCTACGCGAGAAGCTGAAAGAAAAGTTGAATCCAGCGAATAAGACGAGATTCAAGGTGACCGGTCACAGTCTTGGTGGCGCTTTATCGATACTGTTCCCAGCTGTTTTGGCGTTGCACAAAGAACGGTTGCTGTTGGAGAGACTAGAAGGGGTTTATACGTTCGGGCAGCCGAGGGTGGGTGACAAAAAATTCAAAGAGTTCATGGAAATACAGTTGAGGAATTATGGGTTTAGGTATTTGAGATACGTTTATTGCAATGATATGATCCCTAGAACTCCTACAGATGACTTGGCTTTTTTGTATAAGCACTTTGGGAACTGCATTTACTTCAATAGTTTCTATAAAGGGAAGGTGACAGCCTCTTGCTTCACTACTTTTTTTTTCAAGGTTTAGATGAATATTCGATGCATTGACGATGTATAATATCTATGCAGATACTCGAGGAAGAACCGCACAAGAATTACATCTCTCTATTTGCATGGATCCCCAGGCACCTGAATGCGGCGTGCGAACTTGTAAGAGGGCGGATTCTTCTGCCATTGATAAAGGGAGCTGAATATAAAGAAACGTGGTTGCTTATGATGCTTAGATTATGGGGACTTGCTTTCCCTGGTTTATCTGCTCATAATACCCAAGATTATGTTAATGCTACCCGGTTGATTTCTCGTCGGATTTATCACCAACTTCAACATCACCGGCATCCTTGGAAAATTATCAACGGAAAGCAAGAATAGCTCATCTTTTATCATGGATGCTGCGTTTTTCTTTTTATTCTTTAGACAAAAAATGTAAATCATCATGTTTACTTCGGCATATTATTTGATATGCTATCGTAAATAGGATGGGCGTGAATCTGGTTGGATTGAAACCCGTCAAGTATGAATCCCGTGTTCATCTCTAATTGCAAATGGATAAATTTCATGCCACCGTCGGTCCAAAATAAGTTAGGCTCACATAGAGCAAAGTTGTGCAAAGCTGCAACTTGAATTCTATGATATAAAGCATTGCCATGAAAATTGTTTGACGTTTCTGAAGAAAATAACTCAATTAACCCTTTTTTAGGACAAATTCTGCCACTAGTCCTTGTATCATGTATATGATGTGGACTTAGTCAATGAACTATAGTTTGTTCATTTTTAGTCCCTTTGCTTTTTGAATTTTGAAATTTCAATCTTGACCTAAATAATATAAGAAATTAAAATCATCAAATTGGAGAACAAAATCTAAATCTAAATCTACAGGTTACGCATAATGTATGACTTATTAGTGGAACTTGACTTGACACACTTTATGATTATTGTTTGGGCCGGAACTGAAATTTCAAAATTCTAAAAAGTACACATACTAAAATTAATCAAATTGATGTATGAAGACTAAATCCATAAATTTCACATAGTTCAAGGACTAATATATGAATTTGATCCTTGTCTATGCAATGGAAGTGAAATGTGTTTCTCGTGTAGAACCACTGCATGCCCAAATAGTTACTCTTGGGATATATATTTTCTTTTCAATGTTGTTATTCTTGACCAAGAAATTAGACTTTCAATATTAGAACCTGAATCTCCAATTCTAAATGCCTAAGCAATCTCAATCTTATGAGCACCCCTTTATTCCTTTTTCCTTGTTATTCCTTATTTTAATTTTTAACGATAATTATACGATCTTAATTGAAATAAATTTTAATTCGAACAGTGGTAATTTCAAATGTTAGATAAAGATTATGTCATAATGAAATTTTACTGAAGAGCCTTGGTTAAAGATGCTTGAACCTCTTGATATAGCAATTGCAAAAGCAAACAATCCCTTTTGATGAGTTGCAAAGCTAAGCATATATTCCACAACATGATACAACTTTACACTATATAAGCAGATGCTAACAAGTTATCATTTCATGAAATTCACTACCTAAACCCTAGTAGTTTCTTTTCTAATGTTGAAAGCCATGGATAACCAATACCGCGCCTACCAATTTTTAGAGCTGAAACCAGATGAAGTGACCTCTCTTTCGACTATAAAACGTCTGCCCCATCTTGTCAAACCCATGAAATCTATTGGGAAAAAGGTGGAGATGGGGTTGAACCTCGTCTCCTTCAACAACAAGATTTCATGCTCTTCTTCAACATTTTGCGATGTTAGTCACTTCTTCCTTTCTTCCATGTTTGATTAGTGTCATGTTATTAGAATTCCCAGGAATTTATTCAAGGTTTCCTTTTTTGCTTGTTTATTTTAAGTAGGTTTTACCATCGTATTTATATTCGAATATAAATTTTAAAGATTCATATTTTAAGTTCACTAAGATTCGAATAAATTTGTATGAAAGTGATATTAACATTTGCTTTTGTGTATGTAGGTAAAGTGAAGGTTCCGAACCCTGAATCCGATCGTTTTATATCGCTCGTCGGACGTTTGGACAAGCGAATTAAATTAGACGAGAAAAATAAAATCTGGAAATGCCAGATATAATTCAGCACTGGCTGCAATGGGGGCTAAAGTAGCTTATGATAATAAGGGTTTTATTAGAAAAACAGTTGAACGACATTGGAAGGTAAATTATTATTTAAATTTAATTATTTCCGATAGGAGAAAAACTTGAAAATGTCTACATGATGATTGATGCAGATGGAGTTTATTTATAAGGATTGCAACTTTTGGAACGGTGGGAAATCCCATATCTACTTCTTTTTTTAATTTGTATTTTTTTTTTCGATTTACATGCACACAAAACCAAATAATAGATTAAGTCTTAATCTCGTGTTAACAAATTTAATCATACTTGATTTCGACAGATTATCAACAGAATTGTAATACACAGGGCTTCATGTTGCATGATCAAGGAACAACTGTTGACTATGCACCGAAAGGTGCAATGGATTTGTCAAAACAATCAGTTTGATATTGTTGAATTTTGTAAATGGTAAAAATGTTAATTTAGTCATTGTACTTTAGGATATTTATAAGATTAGTCCTTAAGCTTCAACTATAAATATCATAGCTCACTACAACAAATTTGTCAATTTATGACAAAATTGCTATATGACGTTATGTATATCGTCACAAAACATACTATAATGTAACTTTTTTTTTTATTTTCGTCATATTTATTGATTAATGATATGTTTTTTATGATAATTTTAAAAATTGTAATTGATTTTTGTCACTATATGTTTGGCGCCAAATATTCCCACCAAATATTTTGGTGGGAAACCTTTTAATGACATTTAGATAAAATAATGACGTTGTAAAATCGTCTCCAATGAAAAATAGGTATTAGTGACGATTTATTATAATGACGATTCAATTTGAATTAATGGCGTTGCACATTCGTCACTAATAAGTTTTATTCGTGACAATTTAATTTGTCATATTTTATAAGATACTAAAAGCGACATTTTATTATTGCCACAAAAAATAGTTTTAGCATAACAAAATCAATTATTTGCCACTTGTTTTTATCTCTCTTTTTTATATGACGATTTTAAAAGATGTCATGGAATTATGTCACTTAATGTTAAAATAAGATAATCTAACAACCTTATTAAATAATGCAATTTATAGATTTTTTGTGTTTTTATTTTATTGACATTATTCTATATTAGATTATCTCACATTCAAAGTTTTTTTAGAGTAAAAAATAAAATAATAAATCGTAAAAACGAAATGACTAGATATTTTTTTTTTATATTATTATACTTATATAATTTCCATGATGTTGCATCAAAGTGTTTAGGAAAAAATAGATATTTATACTTGATCATAGAAATACCCATAAAATTTTAGTATATTTATATACATATAACATCAATAATTCTAAAATATAAAATATTACTATTTTATATAAAAAAAACTAATATTTAGAATGGTATTGTGAGAGAGGTTACTTACTTGATGAAATAGGAATTAGGGATTGCTAAATTTGAAGTTAGCTTGCTTATTCTGTTTGGAGTAGCTTTACACATAAACCCATTATTTTTTTTTAAGTTTAGGAATTGCAACTTTTTTTAATAATAAAAAAATTCTTTAAAATATATTAAAAAATTCTTTAATATATATTAAAAGACATTTTCTTTTAAAAATACATATAAATAAATATATTTATTTAAATTATTTAAATTGAATATTCCTTATTTTTAATTATTTTTAATTTATCTAAATTTTCTATATTTTTATAATTTTTAATAATTATGTTTAGATATATAGGAGGTAATTTTCAACTTCCCTCCAAATAAAATTTACCTTCCCTCTAATAAAATTGAATATTTCTTATTCATAGGAGGATTTTTTCTCATTCATAATGAATCATTATTGATTTCCTTATTCATTGATTTTCATTTTATAAAAGCATCTGTGTATTTGATTTCCTTTAGCGTTAAAATACTATCATAAATAAGTTGGTGAAATAAGAAAGTTCTTTTCTATATTTTATATTGAGATAATATTGCTTTATAGTTTTATTATTTTTATAATAATTTTTTATGACCCATGTCATCTACCGAACAATCCTGGCTGGCCTCTCCGCAACTTCCTTGCACTTATTTCTTCCAGATGGAATCTGAAAACTGCTCGCTTTTTGTGCTATAGAGAGAATAGAGGTTTTGTTGATTTGAATTTGTCACTTGTTGGTGAAGCCTTGATTTCTGTTCAACCAGGTAGAGTGGCACAAATTTTGGGTAATAGCTTATTTTTTTGGATCAATTTTTAGCTGTTCTAATAATATGGATTCATTCTACACTATCTTTCTTGACCTACAATGTCTCTTTAGGAGGGAGAGAAAGACAATGTGTGCCCAATGTTGTAGGATGGGAATTCAACAAGGGCAGAAAAATACCGAGGTGTATTAACCTTGCTAAATCTATGGATCCAACTAGGTAATTTATTTTCGGTTTCTTTTTTGATATTGTCTATGAATCTATGGATGGATATTGTGTTTATAGTCTTTGGTATATTACATGGTGAACTTAGCAATGCATTGCTCTTTCCTGCAATTATTACATGTTTTCTGATTAGATTTCCTGCATCACTACTGTTTTACTTCTTTATATTTTTGTTTGGTGATTTCCTTGGGAAAAACCAAACTAGGATTGCAAATCAGAACTATTCGATCTCGTAGCTATTCAGAACATGTTCGCTCTTTCTCGAGTATATATAGTTGTCGTCATGGGCCGACCCCTAAAAGGATGCCGCTCTTTGGGTAGCTGGAAAGCGTAAGACTTTTGGCAGGGGAAACTGCCTTGCTATTATGCTACAGAGCTGTGTTTTGGCACTTAATCCTTTCACATGATTAGTATGTCATTATAACAAAGATTAGTAAACTGTGATCAATTTGAAAATTATGTGTTTCATATATGCTTTGCTATTTGGCTTGCTTTATCGAAGCTGTTCCTGCAGTAGTTTCTTTTGCTTGAGTCCCTTGCAATGCCCTCGTTTGCTCGCATTTGCAAACAAACTTGTAGCATTGCAGGGGCTACCACTGCTGCCCAGTTCCATTTCCCATTGTTTATTTGGACTTGGTTCTGACTTGAATTTCATGGGAACTTTTCTTTGATTGAATTCCATTGAAAGGTGTAATAAAAGTTGGAAATATCCCCATCCCCGAGCTGTATTTCTCATGAAGCGACAAGGCCGGCGAAACATCGAGGATTTATAAACCAAGTGTCGAGCTATATTAATCAAATTCAGGTGCGTTTCAATGTGTATATTTTTAATTCCTTATGTAAATTATATATTAGGTGTTAATTTAAT